CAAAAGAGTACTGAATTGTCATGAGATATCTGTCCTCCTATATGGCAGTGAATGCTGGACAATCCCTTTTAAGATGAAGAAGACATTTGAAACAGCAGAAATGTGGTTCTACAGAAGGATGCCGAAGATACCATTGACTGAATATTTTGTGCAATGACGCAACTTTAAAGAAAATCGAAACAAAACGGGAATTTATACTTAACATGAAGATAGTTGAAATTTCTAGGGCACGTAATGAGGAAAGAAGCTTGGAAAATCTAATACTCACAGGATAGTTTGAAGGCAAGAGGGACAAAGGAATCACGCATAAAATTCTTAGTGTGCTTGAATAAATGAATGCCGGAACAGGGTTTAGGTGAAACAACCAAAAGATAAAATTTTAATTAAGAGCTACAATGGAGGGGAAATTGTGGAGAGCCATGATCGACTACGTCCTACATTTGGCTTTGGTCATTGTTTCCATGGGTATATTAAGGATTCTGTTGAACTGAGTAATCATCATTTTTAACTTGACAAGGAACACGAATAACTCCTAATAGGGGTTAATGATAAAAAAATCGTATGCTAGGGTAATAATTTAAACTAATAGTTTTCCCAAAGAAAAAGAAGAGAAAAGATCGAGAAGAAGAAAGAATAAGAAAAAGGCACAAAAGAAAAAACAATATAAAAGAAGAGAAAGAAAAGAAGAATAAAAAAAGAAGAGTAAAAAGGGGGAGAAAAAGAAGAGATTTTTCAAGTATATGAAACACACAGCCTTGTTCAAATAAATTGAAACAAAACGAATAATTGCATTATTATTTGCTATTTTTTCGTATTTTTCTCATGAAGCATGAACCAATGCATATGTTAGTACTTCATATGACTATTCCACAATGTCGTTCTTCGCAGATTGACCACAGATTCTCGATGGGATTTAAATCAGGAGAGTTTCTGGGCCAGTCTATAGTACTTTGATTTGCTTACTGGAAATGCTTGCCACTGTGTTTGTGCAGCGTTACAATTTTCGTACGCTTCCTTGTAGTAAAGTCTATCACAGACAATGGCCGTAGGACAACTAATCGACAGTCGAGACAAGAGTGTCTGGACGTGATAAAAATCTGATGCAATCATGGATGACGCAATATTTTTTAAGGACAAAGAATTTCAACATACACCTCGAAAATGGATTAATATTACTGCACACCACTCCAAATGACCTAATCAGAGGAAAAATAGAAATCGATTACTCGCTGTCAATCCAGTGGGTCTATAACTGATCGTATGGTGAAAAAAGGAAACTAAAGCAGTTGTCTCAATTAATTTGCACAAGGGTATATATTTAAAACTGTCTTGGTAGTGTAACGGATATCAGCGCAGAAAGTGGAATCGGAGATCTGAGTTTATAATTCCGGCTTATTCTGTTGCTTTCGCTTTCGCACTAATCTCCTGGCGAAAGGCATGCCTCTTCTCTCCCTCACCAAAACGGTGTGTTAAACTGGACAATTTCCTCACAGATGAAGAAGAGACTTGAAGCAACAAAAATGTGGCTCTACAGAAAGATACTGAGAATACCAGGGACTGAACATGTGAGCAATGACGAAGTTTTAGAGAAAATGGAAACAAAAAAAAGAACACTTATAGTTAACATCAGGAAGAAAAAGTTGAAATTTATAGGGAGAAAAGAAGGCTTGGAAAATGGGATGCTCACAGGACATTCTGATCGCAAGAGTGTTGTGGTCTTGTTAGGGGCCAGAAATAAAGACAGAAAGAGAGGAATTGAGTTAAATATATTAACAGAAACAGTAATAAAAACATATACAAACGAGAGTGTTAAAGCAAGAATGTTCGGTACGACTGCGAGAGCTGACTTCTGGAAACTTCACTCTTCAAAAAAGCAGTACCTGCTCCTATTTATAGCTGGGAGAGTCCACGAGTGCGTGGGTAAATTACCATAACAAAAAGGCATAGAGGAAAACAACGCATAATCTATCTAGAGAACTTGTCTAAACGGCTGGGGGAACAAGAAAAAAAATTATTAAGAGCTACAAATGATCGTCATTTCCTCGGGAAGAAAAAGAACTCTTTAGCCTTTGATGACAACCAGTATAAGAGTATAAACACTATGAGTTCAAACCACGGAGAAATCAACGGGGAACTAATCTAGCATCTTTTTCAAGAATTCGTGGCAATTTACATATAATGAAGGAAAGGTATCTGTGGAGATAGGATTGCCTATTTCCTGAAGGATTATTGCATTTATATTTACTTAAAATCGAACCTCCGATCAACCGGTCTAAGTTGACTGCTCTGACCCGTTGGAAAAGCCCCAAAGTGCCGAAACATGTCCTAATTAGTTTATGTTAAAATTTGTGAACCCGAGGGAAACATTTTGCAAGATTGGTTTCCCTTTTTTCCTTAGCAAATACAATTTAGCGGTTTCATCCTTTGTGAGATCGGGTCACATAACAATCACGACTGATGATTTCCCCTGGAAGCATTATTTAATTTTTAATCTTGACGACTATAAACTACTTTAAGACAGCTTGATTTATTTAAGGAAGATATGAGAAAAATACAGAACTAAAACTAGTGGCAAATCGTCGTCAGTTGGACAGGAAATGAATTCAGCAAATACACAAAAAACAGAAACATGTCTTCTCGCCAACATTTACAGCGAGGCGACCATGAAAGAAATAGAAGTCTTACTTGTACTTATTAATGGCAGACACAAGCTTAACAACATAAGATATGCAAGTGGCACAGTGGTGATAGCAGGCAGAGAAAGGAAACTGCAGGAACTTCCACAGATGGTAAAAAAAGGAAAGAGAAAAGAAAGGACTAAGTATAAAATGTAAGTAGACTGAATATATAGTTGTCAACGGGAGAAGCATACCAAAAAGTGAATTAGATATGTCAGAATCAAGCAAGAAGTTTCAATATTTGGGAAAGGGTTTTAACAGGGAATGGAAAAAGGTGACACCAAAATCTGAAGGTGAATTGGAATAGCAAAAGATGCCTTCCAAAAACTAAGCAACGTACGGAGAAACTGGAGAATTTCGTTAGAAATAAAGAAAAAATGTGCTAAAAGGTTTTGTCTTACCAACCATCAGGGAATGCTGGACAACTGTTATAGTGGAACACACCTATTCTATAGACTCTCCCACCTATAATAAGTAGGAGTAGTAAGAGTAACGAGAGGTCGCTCAGTGGGTCGGTCTGAGTTCAGTCTGAAGTCGGACGACCGGCTGACCGGTTGAACTCTCTGCCTTCGGGCGGGGAGGAACCCGAACGAGGCTACGCCGAAGGGCGGAATCTCTTTCGGGGAAGTAAACCGGCATATTTTTGGCCGGCCCACGGGCTCGGAGATCCCACGTTAAACCGGCCTTGTGCCACATGATGCCCTCGTGGGGGGGGTGACTGAATATCGCTCAGTGGGTCGGGCAGTCAGTCGATGCCGGACGACCGTTAGTCGGATACTAAAGTATCAGCGACCACAACAAGATTACTCTGCGTAATACTTATTATATCAAGTTCCTAACGTTTTGTACGTCGAACCTATTTTAGGACCGACTTAGTACAAATACAAGCCTCCACTGTGAAACCACTCCACAACAACAATTTATCCCGGATGAAGAGAAGACTAGATTCAGCAACAATCTGGTTTTACGGGAGGATACTGAGAATAGCCTGGCATAAACAACGAGAGGTGGTTTTAAGGTAAAGTGAAACAAAAAGGAAATCAATACTCAGAATCAAATGACATTTTTGAGACACATAAGGAAGAAGGAAGGCGAAGAAAATTTGACATTCACAAGACATATCAAAAATAAAAAGTGATGGACGGATGGACAGACTCTAACAGATAAATATTAAGAGCCACAAAGAATAGGAAGTTATGGAGAGCCATGATAGTCCACGTCCTGAAGGGATACGGCACATAGAAGAAGATTATTATTGCTATGATAAGAAAAACTTAAAGTCTCTTACTGATAAATGAATGCTCTATGTTTGTAAACAAGTTTTACAAGTGTTATAGACAAGCGTATGGTTGCAAGAAAGAAATACGACAACAGCAGAAATAGATTTACGTGATTTATTTCAATAGGAACGTGTGGTTTTGGGACAGCTACCTTGTGGTATAGTTCATAAGCCGGCCTCCGATCTGGGTTGATCTCTCATAGTAGTTCTCGCTGGTTGGGGTGGCGCTCCTCCTGCTGACTGCTGCTGACTGCCCAGACTGACCGTGACAGATCTCTTCCCTGGCTGCTCTTGTACTTCCCCGTGTGACCCCTTTTATGGCGTTTTTATGTCTTAACAGGCTCGAAAAACGACGCGAATATAATTAGGAGAGAAGCATTTTATTGGTTGAGAAATAGGAACACTTTAAAATATTATTTTATTTTTCGACCGGAACTCGTGCCTCGGGCCTATGCGTAAACGACGATAATGGTCATTTTGTGATGGGGCCTTGTCCCGTTCACATCCGGCTCTCGCTCTTGAGTATATTAGTTTATTTGCCTGCAAATCAGCCGAGATATGTCTTATTTTATTTTATAACACAAGGATTTATTTTTCATCGCGCTACGTCGCTACCGAATGGGATACAAGGTCGATGTCTAAAGTGGGTTCTTCTTAAAGTCGGCACTTCTCATTTTGGGGACGCCTCAGGCATCGGGCAGTAAACCCAGCCCGATCCCGTAGGAGATCTGGGGGGACTTGGTCTTAAGATATTTGAACTAGTTTTACTAGTGGATCATCCATTGATTTTGTGACCTATTGCATCTTCATATGAAAGCATTTAGATCAACGTTTCAAACATTTCATTTTTATTTCTGTATTTCATTTTGCCAAGTAGAATGTTTCTCTTCATAGTGCTCCACAAGTTTTCAGTTGTGCTATGGCCGAGTAAACAAGATGGACACTTCATTAAACGAATTTCATTTATTGCTATCACTCACCCACTCACTCAAGTCCATATATATAAGTTCAGTATTCTTTTCTTTGGGCTTACGGCCGCGACACGTTGAAAAACCAGTTCCCGTACGATCACCAAAGTTAAGCAATATCGGACCAGTTCAATACCTAGATGGCTGACCACTTAGGAATATCAGTTGCTGTAACCTTGGAACTGCGGGTGGTGTAATGGAATTGAATATTGGAGAGCCAAGTTCCAATTCCTGTTGTGTTCATTATGGTCACTTACGAGCAAATACCCTTGGGAAAGATATGACTTCACCTCTTGTCTCACTAGATATGAGATGCTGGTAAAACGATAAACTACATCCAACAGCAAGGCCTCTGATAAGGAGGTTTTGAGGAGCCTGGATCTACCTCTTAATTGCTGGTGTTCCCATGTCTACCTTGACTCAGGATGGTAGAATCTATTAGGGTACCAACTATGGGCAAATAGTTAACCCCCAAACTGGGGTCAAAACACTATGAAAGTGTAAAAATAGGTTTTAATACCAGCAATACATTTTTGTAAAAGGTTATTACCAGCAATTAATTTTTGAAGAAAAAAAATATTACCAGCAATATATTTTCAAAAAAAAAAAAAATTACCAGCAATAAAACTCTTGTTGGCATTAAATAACCCATTGAGGTTGATATACCGTAAAACAAACCAAACTAAACCAAACCAAAACATTTATGAGTTAATTAGTAAAACTTGTATCATTAAACCATTATTATCTCAAACAAAAAAAATTATTACAATGTAAAAAAAAATATTTTTTGAATTTAAATAACCTGGGTTGATAAGCCGTAAAAAACGAATCAATCTTTGTTTTTGCGATTTAGAAATGCCAACTTTCTCTTTTTGATTCTAAGTATACGTGTCTTTTGTTTCCATTTTCTCTAAAACTTCGTCACTGTTCACATGCCCAGTTCATGGTAATCTCAGTATCCTTCTGTAGAACAACATTTCTCTAGCCTCAAGCATCTTTTTCATCGGTGAGGATATTGTCCAGTATTCACTGTCATATGATTTCCATGTCTCACTTTCCATCCTCTAATTACTGTCTTGAAATGAAACAGGAACAATGAACTGTCAAGTGAAAGGAAGTAAAATTAATAATTTAATTTTGTTTGTTCTTGCAGATAATCCAGTTATATCCCAAGATGCCATAATAACGATAATTGGGGAATACAATATAATAATATAATATACTCACCGACCAAAAATGGCCGAATACCCGTTTTAAGAGCAAATACGTCTGCTAGGGCGCTAAGTGCAGACACCTGCTCAGGAACAGTTGTATTTGTTCAAAAGAGCCCACCTGTAGTTTAAAACTGCTGCTGTGCTGAGAGGAACTTAGTTTCTAAGAGTGAGCGCTTAATCGGGTAGGATCAGTAGTTTAAACAACGCTAACACTCCAAAAACCCTCAGTCACAATGCCTTGTAACGTTCACGCTATCACAGCCATTGTCAGCTTTGCAAGGAGTTCCGTCTATCTAGTTTCTCTCACAATGCTTGGGACAAAATTTAGTATGGTTTTCAGGCATTTTCTGAAGATGCCGCTCACTGGGATCGCTTCCCAAGACCAATGATATCAAGTAGACACCTTCCTAAAAATCGAGCTTGGTCAGAATCGAAGCTAGGTTTCATAGGCGGAAAGCGAAGGTTCTAACCAGATGTCGTGTTTCTCTTTATTTTCAGGAGTAAGCTGCGGCAAGTAAGACATTTGAAACGGCATTTTTAAATGTTATTTCCCTGTCATGACTCTTCACAGCTTCCTTTTATTTATTATCTGGGAATTACCATGCCTTCTTGGCAAAAATAGAAAAATGGCTTTTCGTCGCCTTCTCTGAGTTCTACTTTAGAATTCAGCATTTTCCTCCTGCTATAATGATTAGTATGAAATGGCTAGAATCCCCAGTCGACTCTGTTTAATTAACTCATAGCTGGAGGGAGGTGAGACGAATTCAGGCCTTTCCTGATGGAAAGGGTGCTAAACTGAATGAAACAGACGACTAGACTGGAATTTGAACTCGGCTCGCTGAGTCGCCTTTCCAAACCGATATCTGTTACCCCCACAAAGGAAAATTTATGACGACTGATTTACATTTTCCAGTTATGATAGAAAAATGACAGGATCCCCCACTATATATATATATATATATATATATATATATATATATATATATATATATATATATATATATATATATATATATATATATATATATATATATATGTGTGTGTGTGTGTGTGTGTGTGTGTGTGTGTGTGTGTGAAAGGAAAAGGATGGTAGGCAAAAGCAATTTATAGAAATCATTACCTAAAGTGTATTAGTGTAAATCCCACATCGGTTTTTCAGCTGGCATTTTTTTTTCGAGTTATTGGTTTTCAAAAATAAATTACATTGGGAATATATTTGGCCTGGACACATCTTGTTTGCATCAGATCAGCGATAAAATAAAATAATTAAGAAATAAAAAAAGAAAAGAAATTAAAAAAAAGAAAAGAAAAAATGACGATAGCCGACAAGAGAAATTAATCGGAAATGGGAAAGTTAATCTGTACTTTCCTTGAGGTGCTGTACGCACAAAAGAAACTAACGCTAGACATTTTATGTTTGTTTCATGTAAAGATGGGATTAAACCGGTAGCCGGGCAATTTAACGTTGAAATTAGATGAGAAAACGTCACAAGAGATAAGCGAAGAGGAAAAAGTTTAGCCAGAGACAACAGAAATACGCTTAAACATCAAAGTCAAATGCTCTATTAATATACAGATTAGGGGACTGCGATTAACACCAAGTTCCTCATACTTTTAGCCTTCTATCAGACAAGAGATTGGGCGACAGTTGTCGGGAAATGGTTAACAAGCCCCTTTGGCATATTTCCAGAGTCACTGAATGACTCGATATCTGATCTTTACTCAGACTTAGCACTAAAAGTCAAATGTGTGAAAAACCTGCTTGTAATGACTCAAAAAACAAACAAGTAATTTCAAACTTGTTAACTTTGAAAATCTAAGCGTGTAATAAACTCAAAAAACAAGCAAGTAATTTAAAACTTGTAATTTTGAAAAACCAAGATTGTCATAACTCAGTTAACCAAGTAAGTAAATTCAAAATCAAGTAAGAAATTTCAAACTTGAAACTTTCAAAAAACAGATTTGTAGCGACTGAAAAACCAAGAATGTCATTTGTCGATTTCATTCGATTTACGCCAGTTCATTCAACTTATTTCTCTACTGCCATGGCAAATCTTCTGATGACTTTCATTCCTTATTTTCGCTAGTTAAGACCTTTTACAGCTAAGACCTTTTTTATCTATGGCTATTTCCATGGCAAATCTTCTGATGACCTTCATTCCTTATTTACGCCAGTTCAGACCTTTACAGCTAAGACCTTCTCTACTGTATGGCTATTTCCATGGCAAATCTTCTGATGACCTTCATTCCTTATTTTCGCTAGTTCAGACCTTTACAGCTAAGACCTTCTCTACTCTATGGCTATTTCCTTGGCAAATCTTCTGATGTGCTTCATTCCTTATTTTCGCTAGTTAAGACCTTTACAGCTAAGACCTTTTCTACTCTATGGCTATTTCCATTACAAATCTTCTGATGAACTTCATTCCTTATTTTCGCTAGTTAAGACCTTTACAGCTAAGACCTTTTCTACTCTATGGCTATTTCCATGGCAAATCTTCTGACGAGCTTCATTCCTGAGCATTCCTTAGCAGACCTTTGCAGCTATGACTCGCGATGCCACGTCCATCATTCAAATCCATTTCGTATTACATTGGTAAGAAGGACGTTTCATTCGAACAGCTTCTTCCCAAGAGCAGTTGGTTTGTGAAATAAATTCCTGAGAGGATGCTTTTACGATCGCTACAATCTTAACCTGTTCGAGTCTAAGTCAACCGTAATCTCTCCTACATATCCTCACAGTCTACACGTGTTAGTTCCTATATTCGTGAGAATTACATGACTAACGTCATTACCTGTATCTGTATGTACACAAAAGTTATTAAATTTTATATAAATCTAGTTCCATGGTATGTTATTTAAGTATACCTTCATTGTATATGTATAAGCTGTGTTATGAAATATAAAGGGATATCATGTTTATCCATTCCCAAGCTGCCCTATTTTATAGATACTATATACAAATACCAGGCGAGACAAGATCAAGAATAAGGCAGTAAGAGATATGGTAGGAGCAATACCAGTCAGACACCTCACTCGTATGCCTATCAACCAACCAGCCCTACGAGCATACACTCTCAGGTACTCTGGCTAGAGAGCGAGAAGCAGACCAAGAAGACGGTGGAGCGACTCATTGGTAGACACTCTCATAGACCACGAGATATCTGTCCTCCAGGCCACTCCCCTTGCAGCTGATAGACGACTGTGTCTCCCCGCGACGCCTAACAGCACAAGCGGAAGGAAAAACTAAAACTAACTAAACTATATGCAAATTAAATAGCCTGTATTTCAAAATCCGAAATATTCTGAAAACTGAAGCACATCCGGTTCCAAGAATTTCGGATAAAGGATTCTCAAGCTGTAACACAGATTTAACCAACTCTTATATCCGTTACGCTACGTGGTGTATTTTGGACATCTTTATGTTCCTTTAGTTATCATGCCGGGACCGTGCCGCATTTTGATAATTTTATTTTTCAAATGAAGGAGGGTTTAGAGGACCTGACCCTCACAGGGCATATCGCGTGTAAGAGATATAGAGGAGACAGAGGGACACCTACCTGACTAACTTGTGTGAATGGCTGGCAGAAAGGGGGTTCAGGAGTCTTGGTAAAAAGAGAGATACTGCTAAGGGCTACATGGGATAGGAAGTTTTGGAGAGCTATGATCGCCCACGTCCTGAAGGGCCACGACACATATAAGAACTGACAATATAATTTAATTATTTTAAACTATTGTTCTCAACTTGATTGTTTTAGATGTTATTACAGACACGACATTTCGACGAAGTTGCCTCTGGCCATCATCAGATGTCCATTGTTTTGGCTGACATCAGATATCTATTGATTATTATGTTATTTTGTCTCTGTGATGCCACTTGTTTGTCCGAATAAATAACATAATGGTCTCCGTTCCTCAATCTCGAAAATGAAGTACATAAATACATTCTTCAATGCGCCGTGT